GCCAGTTGTCTTCTCAGAAGCGACTTCTCGCCAGGAAATGTGCAACCACTTGACAGTCTGTCTTCCCACAGCTCCCTCCCCGCTCATCAACTTCCTAGAGTTCGATTCTGATGTAACGGCCCAGTTTCCTCCCCCCCCCCTCCTCGGGCACCAGCCGTGGCCTTGCACAGCAATTGATGGTGATTGGGTTGCCATACTGGGCTGACACCTGACCTCCTACTGGGCAGTGACGAGTGACCGACACCCAGTCGGCGGCCCATTTCGGCTCCGTCAGTGCTCGTTAGACCTGTCAGAGGGGGCAGCTGGCGGCAGACCGGCCCCGGGCGCTGCCGACTGACGGTTCCACGCGCCAGCGTCTGACGGTTCCAGGGCGCCCCTGTCGTGGTTCCAGGCCGCCCGCTGTCGACCTCCAGACGGGCCCGTACGGCTGACGGACGGGAACGTGCTGCTATGGCGGTGACCGGTAATCGAACCCGCTGTAGGTGGGCACTGCCATGCACTGAGAGGTTCGGCACATTGGAACCCAGAGACGTGGTGAAATAACGTGGCCGTCAGCGTTTATGTAGACTTTCTGGTTGTGATTGGATTCAAAAGTGTGGATATTTGAAAAGTATAATTTACATCTTCGATTTCTTTTCATTTGAGCTTCTTATGTAAATTGCTTATAAGTCATGACGGATAAGAGAAGATATAGGGGAAATATTTCTAAGCACGGGACAAATTTCATTCCTAAATCCACTGTACCTACTTCGTTTCCTGACCTTCTGGGGCCCGCGGCTGACCTCTGGCCGGCCTCTGGGGCACTGGTGGGCCGTGACCAGTAATACGGGTCCGGTAACGTCATCTGCTCCCCCCCCCCTCTCCCTCCCACCAGTCCGTGCACATGACCGGTGTCCGCAGTCCGACACCAGTCATACGGCACGCGCTGCACCGCTGACCCCGGCTGCCAGGAAATGCGCACTGTTGCATAACGCGCAGTAGATGACGGCGTTTGTTGAAAATTTGGTGCAAACTGGGTTGTTTCATACGTAGTGCATGGCTATAGTAAACTCACGTGTCTGTGTCAATTACTGGGGCGAGCGAGTGTTGCCTGTTGATGGGCTGGAAGCAGAAGCGCTCAAGCGAGTTTCCATGTGAGGATTTGATGGCTCGATAAAGATGGAGCTCGTGAGATGCTTGACCGCATTCTACAACCGTATAAGGATATCACGCTATCTGAACACAGTGAGGTAGTTAATTCGTTTTTTCCTAGGCATGTCACATACCAAATGAATTAACTCTCACCTACTATTTTTGATCGATAATCGAAGTCAATTAAAAAAAAACATATTGATGACATATCCTGATAATGCTTTAACCGACTTGTCCCTTTAGGTCATAAATTTATCAAATACTTTTAATGTAGCAGCTGTGTCTTTTTCCTTCACGAGTTATTTGTAATTTAATTCAGCATCTGTGCAAACAGGGTAGTGTATTTGACGTGTACCTATGTAGATACCTTCTACTGATCTATGCTGCACCTGCATTATTTACGACACGATAGATCCTTTTTGTCCATAGTCAGTCGCGTATTCCGCTCTTGTCCCACTCGCAAACAATGGGTTTGAAACTAATCAGCCACGCAAACTTACACATGTAACGTATTCCGGTGCTTTATCAACACGCCTCTTTCGTTCAATAATGCATGTCCCTTGTGCAGGTGCCGAAAGCCTGCACGCCCCTCGATCCGTCTTGCATTGTCATTATGCAGTCGCGGCGGGCGGCGTTTGTCTTTGTTCATTCACATCTGTCAACTGTCGACACTGTCATCGGTTACCAGTGCGACCACCGGCGTTTGCAGACGCATTACAAAACCGAACAGCCAGCAAACGTGACAGCCGGCATGAGTTCCCAAACCACAAAGTGTCGCTTTGCCGCCATTACACGTCAAGCTCAATAAATCTGCAAGAAAAAGAAATATGTCGTTGAGACGTTTTTGATGGGACTTTTATTGAGACGTTACTCATATCGTGATGTCAAACTGATAGCGATTAATGTGTGATCAGTTGGCGCTAGGAATCTGTAGATAAATGTCGCTGGTTAAATGGCTGTTGGCAATTACGCACAGTGCTGGTCTTGGACCGAAAATGATTTCCGGGTTATTATTTGCAACTGCGGTTGCCACAGGATGAGTGAATGGAATATGGATATCGGTGTCGAGGGAATTTGCGAGGATAAGGTACACTTTTTCGCCATTTGATGCTCTAGCACACATAATTGATACCTACATAAAATTGCATTGTTTTTTTAACCGTCGCCGTTCGGGCCTCTCTGTGAAGTGGTTAAGGTGCCGCGATCACTTGGGCTAGGTCTTGTGCTGATCGATAACTAACCATGTGTTTCGTTATGTGTTGCAGGTGGCGGGCCGCTGTACCCGAACATCTTTAACCTGGCGCCGGGTAGTGATGTCAGCGTGAACGCCACTTGTGGAACGCAGACCAGCGAGGTAAGGGGGTGAACGGGGTGGTCAGGCTGGCAAACTTAGGCATTTTCATTGTGGACGCCACTCGTGGAGCGCAGACCAGTAACACTAAAGAGCACCCTTAGCGACTTATGGGAGGTCGATTCATCTATCCAGGTCATTATCCATATTTTCTGATAGAATTGGGAGGAAAGTTTTTAGAATGGAATAGAAATACCGACAAAATGCTTCAAATTTACGCTTCGGATTCCGGAAAAGAAACGACTCGTTTTGGAATGTGGTGCATTTTCTAACCGGTCGAAAGCGGATGTTATCTAGCGACACCCCCATGAAGTCGCGTCCCGTTGGTCAGAGCCGGTCACCCGTGTGAACGATTAGGACGTCCGTCCACAAAAGGGCCGCCTCTCGAGTCCGGCCTCCCACGCAGGACATGGGCTACAGCGGGCGATGATTACATTCATCCAACTGGGCCGCCTACGAGCGCTGTCTGAGCGAGAAACCCATTACGTCTGACTGGGCTGACATCTCTTTTTACTCTCGGATCATCACCACCACTATCCATCGCCGACCCACGAAATCACCGATCCGGCACGGGTTAACCACTACCCACCACTGACCCATGCCTAAAAACACCTACCCCCACCTGGCGATCCCAAATGACCGTTTTGAAACCCACCGACATCCCCTCTACCCATTGACACCTCACCAACCTAATAATGATCGCTGACCACAGACCATCCATCGACCCACTACATCGCCCCTGCACCGGCCGGCGTCCAGTCTACTCCGGGCCAACTCTCGCCTCTCGGTCACTTCCCGGACCGACCCCGCCCGCCGCGAGTGACAGCTCTGGCGCGGGTTCAAACCGGGCGCGGCCGCGGCCGATCTGACGCACCGGTGCCGGAAGAAGAGCAGCGTGTACTGAGCGTGGCGGACCGGGCGGCGGGCGATCCGCGGCCAGACGGGGCGTGCAGTTAGAGCGGTCCACTTCAGAGGAGCCGCCGGCCGACTGAATGGGCGGGGTGGGTGGACCGGCCGGGGGAGACGGGCGGCCGACTGGGAGGCTGACAGACGCCGCCTGGACGCCTGACAGGCGCCGCCTGCACACAGCCGAACGCGTCCGATAAGGGCGGAGGGTCTGTGCGGGCTGAATCCGGCCCACGCATTGAGTGAATTGAAATGAGATCGTTATGCCGACGGCGGGTGATGTGATCTTACTCGGGACGGGTCAGTGGTCACTGGGTAACCACATTGACCAAATATGAGGTGGGTAGTAAGGGAGCTGCCCAGTGCTCGACATTGAGTAACGTGCCCCGTTGCGTAACCTGCTCGCACTTCTGAGTGAGCCTGTTTCATTCGTTACGGTGCGTCAAACTGATTCTGCAAGTCGTGCAACTCATTTCTGCGTACGCCCATCATATCTTTACAACGCTCCGACAGCGGTTCTTCCTCTTGATCATTTGACATTACACTCTAAAAATGTGAAATAAACTTGTCAAAACCAGTCGCTCGGAAATTTATATGCCTGAAGCACATCGCGATTACCGACAGATACAAATCACCGCGACAAATACTGTCAAATGAATTGTACATGCTTCTGGGTCGGGATGACAAAAAGAGCACGGCATTGTAACGTGCACTGTATGTATGAATTGAAAGTGATCTGTATGCGCAGCATCATTCACACAATTACACACACAGAGCCACGTCTCGCGCGCCGCTCTAAACGTCCGACACCTCTCCCCGTGGGTGGTCCCACGTGCCGGCGCATAAGACGACGTCTCACCACCTCATCAGATACCCAGGACAGGCGTCTGCGCTCCCAGTTTGGGCAGACGTCGCATCAGACATTCTGTGTCGGCCGTCACGTCTTCATCTGTCCCGAGACCCCACGGGCTGTCGGACGTTAGTGACGGGATGACACGGTTTGGGGAGCCCGCCGCGACCCAGCGCTACGAGCGGCCCCTCTGCCGGGTCACCCGGGTTGTCACTGAGCTCATAATTTAACGGTCCGTTTGTTTGGTTGGGTGTGTAAACAGAAGATTAGGCAGTGGTACCGTTGGTTAGAACGCGTTCACTAATTAAATTCCAGCGATGTGTGCGTTGAAAGTTTATGAGTGATGATCGTTGACCCCGGTAATCTGGCGTGGAAACCAGGGCAATTTGTTTGTTATGATATTGTAGCATTGTCATGTGGTGTTTAGACAGGACTGGTAGTGAATCGACGTCCGTTGGATGCTTCCTGCATCCGTCTCTGGTCTTTTCTTCAGGTGTCAGCCTGTTTTTTTCAGTTCATTCATCGAAATAAGTCGATACTTAGGTCAATAATTCATTTTAAAATGTCATTTGAAGTGCATAAATAGTTACGCATCTCGAATTATTTCCACAACAATATTATACGCACCAATCAAGCCACTAATGACATGTAAAAATCATCTTCCGAAAGGGGCTGTACCTAATACCGTGTGTTCGTCTCTCCCGGTTTTCTGACAAACCGTCCCATTTTCAGCCGTATTGCGAGCTCTCCAGCATTGTGTTCATGACGGGCGAGGAGTGCGGGTTCTGTGACGGTCTCAGCAGTGACGTCAGTCGACGTCACCCCATCACCAACATCATTGACGGCACGGACGCCTGGTGGCAGGGCCCGACCCTGGAGCGGGGCCTGGACAGCCAGTGGATCACCATCGAGATGGACCTCAGACAGGTGAGAGACAGACGGTCACCGGTCACCGGTCACGGGTCACGGGTCAGGTCAGATCAGGTCGGCGGGAGGGCTGGAAGACGGTGAGATGATCGGAGCGGGGACAGACGATTGATTTAATTTTGATATCATGAATTGAAGATAAATGAAAGATAAATTAAATATTGATCTTAAGTGATATTGGATGACAAAATAAAGATAAATGATTATATTATTGTAGGATTTAAATCATTAGGTGTGGCTTAGGTCTCCTTCTGTTCGCATCTTCGTGTTACACTCATCCCGGTCGCAAGGTAATTCGTCCCGGAACAGCATTGCAACCTTCCGATGAACTCAGAAATCAGATCAGCTGATTTCATCACCTAGTTATCATCATTGGAAACTGAATGGATATCGCAATGTTTACCTAAGCAGCAGCCACATGACCGATTTTCTCGGACCGGAATGGACGATCAGCAATATGTCAATAAAAACATCCTCTTACCGGTAGCCACGGAGTACAGACCACCAGAGTACGGTCATCATGTTACGGCGAATTTCGCGCGTTTCTGACCGAAACGTCATTGCTATTCGACTTATCAGAAAACAGACGTAACTTTATTTTAAATATAATCAAGTAAAGTAACCGTACTCTCATAATTAATAGGTATCCAAAATTCGGAAGAAGAAGGCCTGATAATTCCGAGGAGCTTTCGGCTCACGCATTCTTCAAATCACTCTGAAAACTCTTGAAATTGAGAGTGAGTTGAAGAACGCGTAAGCCGAAAGCTCCTCGAAATTATCAGGCGACAGGCCTTTTTCTTACGAATTTCGGATACCTATTAATTATAAGAGTATGGTTACTTTACTTGATTATGTGTTTATGCATGCCTCTCAAAACAGTGCTAACAACAATTCAGATTTCAGACTTAATTTATTTTAGTACAAAGTTGACTGTCGCCAATGTAATTCAACTTACCCGCCCTTTTACGTGGAATTCATCTCAGCGTTACGTAAAACATTCACCGTCTCGCTCCTTTCCATGATCGTCTCACCCCCCCCCCCCTTTTCCACAGGAGTTTGAGGTGGCGTACGTGATCCTGAAGACAGCCGTGTCGCCGGCGCCCGGCTCCTGGGTGTTGGAGCGCTCCCTCACCGGCACCGACTATCAGCCGTGGCAGTATTTCGCCGCCAGCGACGCCGCCTGCCGCGAACACTTTGGTCTGGAGCCGACACCGGGGAAGCCAAAGTACCGCTCGGCCTCAGAGGTGATCTGCACCAGCTACTTCTCCAAACTGAACCCGCTGATGAAGGCGCAGGTACGAGAAACTGCTGGTGACAAGGATGACGTTATAGCGTGTAGCGAACGCACTGATGAGACGAGTGAACAACGCACCGATGTTCGATGGGATGAGTGGCACCGTCTATTCATTATGTGGGATATTTGAATGTGGGAGGGACACTGTTTACCGGCTGGAACCGTAATATATGCATTCCGCTCTCACTTACCCAAAATGCATGAATAAGTGGGTTGATGCGCATTCCAATAGAGGGTTGATGCGCATTCCAATGGAGTTGAGTTTATAATCGGTCGCAGACCGCAGGTCTGCTTGTCAAGGCGTTAACTTGACTCATGCACATGGATTAGTTTCAGGCCAATGTCCTCCCCCGTTCTTCGATGCCGTCTCTGACCCCGTCTCTCACACCTCAGATTTACGTGCCGCTCATCACGGGTCGGCCCACCTCGGAGCGGCCCTCCCAGGAGCTCCTCGAGTTCGTTCGCGCCCGGTTCATCCGGCTCCGTCTGCGCGGAGTGCTCACCCTCAACTCGCACGAGCCGGCGCTGTTCGGTAGCCGACCCGACCCGCAGCTGCTGAGGTCGTACTTTTACTCGCTGAGTGAGGTGACGGTCGGAGGTCGCTGCGTGTGCAACGGCCACGCCACACTTTGTCCAGTGGCGCCCGAGACTGGGGTGAGTTGAGCTGGGGATAACACTGCCTGCTAGTACAGGGAATCACTGGCTGGATAGGAGTCTGTGAAGACTGGGATTGTGTAAATTATGGTAACCTCTTCGGCACTGCCAGTCAAATGTGAGGCTATCTGTTTAGCATTATTGGCACACCCAGCCCTAACTTGTCCTTTAGTTAGCCCTTTCACTGCATTCAGATCGTGTTGTCCTGGTTGTTTTGGCGTCAGTAAGTAGTCTAAACCACATAAAAATGCACCATGCCGCCAAACACACCCAAAACCAGTTTTGTCGACTAAATAGGGATCGTTCGCGGGTTTAATGCGATCAACGACCGGTCCTCTGTTGCAGGATCAGCAATGTGAGTGCGCTCACAATACGTGTGGCGCTACCTGCGACCGGTGCTGCCCTCTATACAACCAGCGCCCGTGGTCCCCGGGAGGCGGGTTCCCGGGAGCCTGTGAGAAATGTCAGTGTCACGGCCACGCCGAGGAGTGCTACTTTGATGACGATGTGGCGAGGGACAAGAAGAGTATCAACACTGATGGGAAGTACGAGGGAGGAGGAGTCTGCCTCAACTGTCAGGTGAGAAAGTGTTACCGGGGATCGATTAAAGTTAATACCACAGTTTGGAAGCTATTTGACTAGCAACAGTTTTTCGGGTATTTGTTCAGATGATGTCAGTATTAGACATTACCTTTCTAAGGACGATTTGTACGCTGACTCTACCTATCAAATGTCAAGCTTCGCTCCATAGCAACGATACAAGAATGAGTAAAGTCGTAATTAGTCAGCTTTTCAAAATCCCTTCCCAGCTGAATCGTCTCACGCCATTGTCACCCTCTTCTACCATTCACCCGCAGCATTTCACGACGGGTACCAACTGCGAGTCGTGCCTGCCGGGCTACTACCGGCCCTCGGGTGTGTCTGCCGACGACCCTGAGCCGTGCCGGCGGTGCAGCTGCGGCGCAGAGGGCGCCACCGGCGACTGTGTGCCCGACGACAGTCGACTCAAGGAGGGACAGGTCAGTGGACAGTGATATCGGGGAGGCATCAACTAGAATCTAGATCGGATATATTATTTGACAGGACCATGTAATTACGAACATTTTTTAACGATATTGAGGTGTCCACCCCTATCAATGTAGGACTAGGTACCCACACTAATCTGACTAACGAGCAGTCACTGCCGCTCACGGCCCTGGCGCCTCTAGTGTCATGTGCTGAAATCATGATCTACCATAGGCAAGACACCTCTTAGCTACTCTGTTCTCCCCAATGTCTGACCTGCCCTCCTCCTACTCCGTCAGGTACCGGGCTCGTGCGTGTGCCGCGAGGGTTTCGCTGGCGAGCGTTGTGACCGCTGCGCCCGCGGCTACCGCGACTACCCGCGCTGTGAGCCCTGTCCCTGTGACGAGGCGGGTACCGTGGACGGCGAGTGTGACGGACAGAGCTGCCTCTGCAAGGTGAGAGCAACAGTGGGGACGAAGAGAGGTGATGTAGCTGATTGACGTACATGAGATTACGGTATCGTTAAAGGGACTCTCCCACCTTAACATTAGTTTTGAGTTGAGATAGCCAAGCTTGCGGCCAGGCTCAGAAACCACCATTTATCCTGGTCGCAACCCCCGCAGCTTTATGGTGTTCAAGAAATTTCTTCCCTTTACTTGCAGGATGGGACCAGCGTGGTCCCTATCTCTTAACCATTACGGGAATCTGATGACGTCATCAGGCTTTCGAACGTCCGTCATTAAGTTTGACTAAAACGTTTTGTAGCACGCGGTGGTATATGCTATTTGCGCGCAACATCTGCCGCAAACGCCGCACTTATAAAATAAAGTCGCTAGAAACAGCGGAGATCCCAAAAAAGTAAACAAAAGTAAAAGTATAATATCTTGAAAACCGGTGAATATTTTTCGGTGAAATTTGGTAGATATTCGTTTTCGCTCTTTCTGAACCGAGCGACATCACTTTCATGCCAATTCATAAACTTTTTTGAAGGTGGGAGGGTCCCTTTAATATAACAACCGATTTGTTGTTTGTTACGAATTGCGATATGATTTATTCCATTTTGCTTATTTCTACTAGGTAGATGTCGAAATCAGACAAGCCGGCATACAAAAGAAATGCATATGTTATATGGTTTCATAGCCCGGGAATCAATGCATGGGAATCTGTGATGCTCTACTTCTACTTGGCTTCCACCCGAATGTCGTAAAAGCACGATGTCGTAAATCTCACCTCTTTCTCCCTCTCGTGACTTGACCTGACATGACCTCCTTCCTCTCCCCCTCTATAGGCCAACGTGCGCGGCGCCCGTTGCGATAGCTGCAAGCCGGGCTACTATAACCTGCAGGCGGACAATCCGGACGGCTGCACAGAGTGTTTCTGTTTCGGCCTGACCAGTATCTGCAGCAGCTCCTACCTCGGCGTCGAGAACGTAGGTGGCGCTGGGGTCGGTCGCACTGAGCGGTAGCACGGTGGGTGAAGGATGACGCTTTAAACGGTATGTACTTTTATGCCAGAGTGATAAGCACATTTCAAGTAACTGCAATTTGACGACTATTAGCTCTAACTGTTAAATATTTCTTTATGTCGTTTGTTCGGTTTATTTTCAGCTAATTTTAATGTTATTTTGCAAGTTCCCAAGTTTATTTTTTACCTTCCTCGAATATAGTTACGTTTTCAATCATTCGTATCTGCATTGTGCTGGTTGTCTGATGTTCTCTTCATCTAATCTTCACCAAACTCACGTCGTTGCCATCTGATGTCAGACATCACCCTTTATATCCCCCGTCTTCAGGTGACGTCGATCGTGCCGTGGACTGTGGTGTCTCTCGACGGCTCCGTCTCCACCGAACCCTACATGGACGGCACCACCCAGCTGGTAGCCAACGACGAGATGGCCGCCGACATCGGCGGCTACTACTGGCGGGCGCCGCAGGAGCTCCTAGGGCTCAGGGTGTACAGCTACGGCCAGCCAATGGAGTTCCACACCTCCTGGGTGGTGCGGAGAGGAGACACGGCCGGAAGGCCCATCAAGGGACCCGATGTTATACTGGAGGTAAGCGGGGTGAGGGGAGGGGGGCGTGATGGGTGAGTGGATATACGGGTGGCTCTGAGAGAATTGTTCGACCAGAAGTGCTTAGCGTCGATTTCCCATGATAATGACGATGGTTGATTTGGTAGGTAAATGAGGTATGATAAATGATGTTTGCCAGGTGTCAATTATAGCTTCCGCATTTTATGCACTTTTTGTTTGAGACATTGCTTTATTCGCGCAGAACTTTGACTGCCGTTGGCATTTTGAACAATATCCTGCAACTGGCGTCGACTTCCTTCCCAGCCAGTTCACATTTCACCCATCCCCAGGGCGACGGTCTGCGGCTCGGATACGGCCACAACATGCACGACGACACGGAGGCTCACATTAGCGCGCTGCTCACCGAGAAGAACTGGTACCGAATTTCCACCAAGGTAAACATGGAATGAAATATGAATGAATGAATGAATGAATGAATGAATGAATGAATGAATGAATGAATGAATGAATGAATGAATGAATGAATGAAGGAGAGAATCGTAAGAACCGGTATGTTCATTTTGGCGTGTGGTGTCGTTTTCAAAAATAACATGCAATATTCGATAAAGCATTTATGGAGACAAACGCTTGTTTTACAGGTGATAGCGATTTACACAAATATAAAAGCCCTTTTTACCTCTTACAGGTGAACCGTATCGCCCGCCGTCGCCGTGAAAAGTACGACCGCGGCCCGGTCAGCCGCCGTCAGCTGATGAGGGTACTGGGGAACATGACCCGGCTGCTGGTCCGGGCAAAGTACCACAGCGACCAGATCGAGGGAGGGTGAGTGAACAGCGACTTAGACCTCCAACAAGAGGGTGCAACTAATGGGAACACGGGATAGTTATATCTTAGTTATATCCTGATTTTTTGTCATGCGGTAGTCAGCGATTCAAAATATGTTAGGACTAAGTTTAAGTTTTTATGTTGTAAACACAAGTGGGTAACAATATTTTGAGGTTAAGTTAAAACCATTTTTTAGGAATTACAATTTAGAGAGCCTAAGGACGTAAGAGCACCCCAAGTGACCCGACCTGCCCGTTCTTCCTCACAGCCTGCACGACTTTGTTCTGAAGATCGCCTCGGAGAGTTCCATCAGCTCGGAGCGCACCACCTCTGTGGAGCAATGTGACTGTCCTCCGGGCTACGCGGGCCTCTCGTGCGAGCTGTGTGACTTCGGGTACCGTCGGCTGAACGGCACGCTGTTCAGGGGCGAGTGTGTGCCGTGCGACTGTCACGGGCACGCCGCCGACTGCGACCCCTACACCGGACAGTGTAGTGTAAGTAATGAAGGAGCGCAGAAGTGTATTGGAAAGGGAGATGTGGGGACAAGCTCTTTCGGAGGGGGCATGACTTTCGAGTTAGAAGGGAGAAACATAAGTGAACAACAGGATGTTGATAATTGAATAAGTTTTTCATACAGATATATTGTATGAAAACTCATTCAACAAACATTGAAGAAGTAAGCTTTTCGATATTTCCGTTCCTGAATGATGAACATAGGCGGCTTTAGATAAATTGCTTCGTGTGTACTGTAAAAGCCTTGCCTTCGAGGGAACAAAGGCGGCTTTGTTGCACCACATTTCAAGTGCATATGCTATCGGGGGATGATAAGTGCCACTCCTGATCACCGCATTGTAGCACATGGGTACGTACTGTGTTGTATGCTTGCAACGATGCAGGGAAGTACCTACTTCAATTGACTCATCAGCACACGTTCAAGTTTACTTTTGTTGGTACAATCGCGATTAGATACGTATGCCGGAATATGAAGCAGTTTTCCTTTAGACATGTGTGACACGCATACATCTTAATAGCTGAAATAGCGTTGAGCATATTGAATGTATTTAATCTATCTATATCTCCTTTTGTCTCATCAGGAGTGTCTGCACAACACAATTGGGGACAATTGTGAGCTGTGTGCCCCCGGTTACTATGGTGAAGCCGTGCGGGGCACTGCGGACGCCTGCCGGCCGTGCGCCTGCCCCGCGGAGGCGGGGGAGGGCGGACTGACGGCCTCCTGTGTGACCGAGCCCGGAGGGGAGGACTACGTGTGCACCGCCTGTCCGCCAGGACACGAGGGCAAACACTGCGAACGGTAAGAGAACTAACGGCGCGATCGGTGTCTTATGATTTAAAGTATTCTTTTCCCAGCAATTTCTTATCCTAGCCACCCATACGATGTCTATCGTTCGGCGCCGAATGTGTCAATTGCGATAAGCTGGGAGTACCGCTTCGTCATCTTTTAGCGCTAAGATAAACTTTCGGTCCAAGCTTACACCATTAACCCGGTCGGGTGGGATGGTCAGATTCGAGACCGGTAAATAGTGCATCGATGATTAGGTATATTTTATACCTCGTTGAAAGCTGGAAGCGAATTTGTAAATCTCCTGAACCCTTCAAAATTGTTTTTCGTCCCATTCGGCAACAAGGATCTCGTCTCACAAATGTCTCGTTGAATTATTTACTGCCCAATTCTGATCGTGACAACCGTGTTGACGCATTTTCTTCTTGTAGACAGATGACTAATTGGAATGTCTTTATTGTCACAGTAACGAGATTACCGTAACGAGACGCCTATAAATCTTCTCTGGTATAATCCACATTTTTACCAAACACGTGTTTGCCTCTTCACCCATCGTCTCACCGTTTCTCCTTCCCATCTAAGAGTGCAGTCCCTCTTAACACAGCGACCCCTTGTCCTCAGGTGCGGCGCCGGTCACTACGGCTCGCCGCTGACCCCGGGCGGCTCGTGCCGGCCCTGCGACTGTAGCGGCATGGCTGACCTCTCTGACCCCGAGGCCTGTGACCCGGTGACCGGAGAGTGCCTCCTGTGTCAGGGCCACACGGCCGGCTGGCACTGTGAGGTCTGTCAGGATGAATTCTATGCAGACGCCGACACCGGACTGTGTCGACGTGAGTGAAAGTGGATTGTCATGTCATGTTTTAGCGATAATGTTTCTGTGGTTAAATTATATGTATTAAAAAAAGAAAACGTTTATTTGTATACTTATATTGACATTTTTGCAGCAAATTATACGAGATCTGTCAAAGGATCTTGATCTTTTTAGAAGTTAAATCACGGTAAAATGATTTTTTAGCAGTAGCTAACAACAAAATAACAAACTCAAATATATTAAGGAAGGTCATGAAATAAGACACTGCTGTTGGCGTTAGCTAATCTTGTGTTTGTTACGTTTTCAGCCTGCGAGTGCGGCATGTTTGGCTCTACGAGTCCGATCTGTGACCAGGAGACGGGCCAGTGCTCCTGTAAAGAGCTGTTTGTCGGCACCAAGTGCGACCGCTGCCAGGTCAGTCCTAAACGACACGTCATGAATGGGGGAAACACGGGTAGCTGCTTCAACGATAAATACCATGGATGCATTTATCAGCAAGCTAACTCTTGCTCAACGTAACAATTAACAGCTGAGCGTAGAAATGTTTGGACAGGAAATGTGCCACATTTATATGTTAGCAGAGTGCACGCTAAAAAAGCGTGTATTTGTCCTTACCTCTAATACCTGTACCACTAATGTTTACCTCTCTGTCCGATGCATAAATTATTCGATTATTGCCGTCCTTTCCAGAACCGCGGCGGTAACATCGAGGCCGACTGCCTGGAGTGTTACTGTGACCTGGCGGGCAGCCTGGGTCCGCTGTGTGACCCCGACTCGGGTCAGTGTCAGTGTCGGGCCGGTGTCACCGGTGTTAACTGCACCGAGTGTCTTCCCGAGCACTACGGGTTCGGCCAGGACGAGGGCTGCGTCGGTGAGTACCGCAGGGCTGTGTCGGTGGGTACCTCAGGGGTGTGTGGTGGGTACCTCAGTGGTGGGATGAGTGTCAGATAGAGGTGAGAAATAGACGGATGTGTAAGATAGTAGTGGCAAAGTGATAAAGCTGGCATGATATGAGGCGGGGGTGTACCTATGTATGTCAATTCAACGGAACCCATGGTGATGTCATCAAAGGTGTCCTGATACGGCTTCGGAGCAAATGTCTCAAATAATCTGAAGCTTGGTCTTAGTAAAAGGTCACCACACCAGTAGATAAAAAGCTTCAGTGAGCGTCGAGCGAAGTTCATTTTCTGACGGAGAAAAGATAAGGAACACCCGAATAGCTCAACAAGTACGTGAAAAACTTACAAATGACGTAGTTTCCTAAATACTGCGACGTATTTTTTAGTACGGTGGTTGCAGGCTGCGGCCTAAGTTTATTTGTGAAAGCCGGTACCTTTTGATCCCAAACTTCTACGGTCAATTTTTCAGTACCAGAACGATTTATATGCATGCAAGCCATCTTTATCCCATCTAAGCTGGCGACTGCTTTAATCTCATGCAACAACAAATTGCGATGCTGAATTAGCCCGATTTATTCGCTGCTCGCTCGGCTGCATCTGAAGGAAGCTTGAAGACGTTCAGACGAGCCTCAGCTACTACTTCTTTTATTTAGCGTGTTGATGATACGTCAGGCTATCATGCATTCCGCCACCTGCGATTATTTGGCATGAGTCTCGAATTATGGTGGCACAGCAAGGTAGCACTCCATCACTGGTTTCCTGTCTCAAATGACCGCACCATGTTCTTTATTTATTCCCACCCGGCTACTCGGGTCGGTAACGACCAGTAGTCACGCGATCAGGGCGCCGAGCGATGCTCATCCCTCGAGAGCAGACAGCGCCGTGACGGCGAATTCGTCCGTGTTCGTGAATGTACGCTCACAATTAGCGGCTCTGTATCCAGCCAGTCACACTCCAGTTCCACACAATAGGTCCGGGTCGGACGGTGGACCGCATACGCCGACCCCATCGGCGGAATGTGGGACGGGAGCACTCTGCTCGCCGCCTGTGCCTCGATTGATCACTGACCACAGCTCGGAGTACGAGGGGTAGTCCGCCACACGTGCAGAGAGCACTCCTCTCGCCGCCCGGCTGTCCCTGCAGGTTGCACCGAGGTCTGACCTGCCCGCCGCGCGTGGTGACCGTAGCTCAGGGGTCTGACCTGCCCGCCGCGCGTGTAGGGAACGCTCGGTGACGTCCTTTCAGCCGCTTAGAATAGGATTATCCTTTGTGGTAAACCACCTACGTGTGTTGGCTCCAGCCGCAGGACTAGTTGGGTGGATGTGTGTGTACTATGAGGTGAAAGGGTCGTGGATTGGCGGGATCCTGGCCGAAGTCGGGCTTTGCAGGAGCTGAGTAGATTGCAGGAATTTGAGTTCCGTGAGAAAAGAGATTCTATGGGATGTTTGGAGTAGTCCACTTTGCGTCATAGGGTAGTGTGGGGTAATTTGAACATATTTTTACGTCTTCTCCGTTGTACCAAATTCCAGTTCAACCCTGGATGAAGAAAAACTGCTTCAGTAGCGCAAGTGTCACTTGCTTTCACCATGCAAGCCTCATTTTTGGACGAGCCGAGCATACCTTGAATAGCATAGCCTCACTTCTCCACCAAGTCACGGTGTGTTCAAATTGCCCCACCGTGGGGTAATTTGAACATACTGCCTTTACCTGTCATAAAAACGATAGTCTCGCCAGCACCGATGTTGTTTGACCCATAAACAAATAGGCAGAACAATTCTAAACATACCTTCACTTGAAAAATCAACACAACAGCAAAAATAACAGTTGCAGAGTATCAATATCTGCACGCTGCACACCGGTCAGTTGACAGAATTCGCCCCTCTTCAGTTAACAGAACGTCTATCATTTTTGTTCGATAAAAACTCTCCCAACCGTACTACATCTGTTAAAGTGGTGCCAATCGAAACCTGGACATTTGGAGTTCTAATTTTGTCCAATGTCCAATTCGGAATTGGTTGGACAAAGGTAGCAGACTGGACAACATTGGACGATGGCTTGCTACACTTCAGCGCTTTTTATAAAGTAATCGTGCATAGCATTGATTGGCGAATGGAAAGCTTGTTAAGCTCTCAATATAATGAACACTTTTCGGCTGGTAAAATTTCATGATAAGCAATATAAATGACGGTTTTGAGTGTTAATAGCTGCATAATTTTTGGACATATTTGGACAAATAGTTGACTTAAAGATTTTTGGACGGAAAATCAACAAAAATGCCGGACATTAGACGGATATTAGACGTAAATTTTCTAAAACTGGCATCACTTATCTGCTACTGCCTTGGGTCGAAAATATTGGCAAAAAAAAACTGGGAGCGTTGTTGTTTCGGAGCTATCCCTGTCTTCATTCAAATTCTCACACTATGTTCAAATTACCCCACGCTAAAAGTTATTTTGCCATTTTAAAAAACAGGGTTCAAAAGCAAATTTCTTGGATTTACGGCACTGATTAGGTCATTATACAACAAAAGCCGTTGCGTATTAGGCGCTAGCAATGCAAGATTTTGCGCTGCAATGAAGTTGCAATGACGTGTTGTTAGGCGTTTTCCTTGCGAAATTGATTTTTTACACTGTGCGTCAACATCTTCATTCCCTGAAACTTTAAACCCCGTTCATATGATAGCCCTTTTAGGTACGATAATTTCTCTCATTGGTCTTATTGTCATGCCACTTATGGATTTTCCGCAATTTTCTGTTATTCACACTATGTTCAAATTGCCCCACATGTTCAAATTACCCCACCCTACCCTATACCTACCAGTACTTTCATATACTTACTCATAGTGTCGTACTTTGCAGGGTGCCACAAAGCAGGGTAACAATATATTCTTATATTCTTAAAATATATTCTTTTGATATTAGACTTTCTAAGTGCGTGTCGCGTAGCACGCGTGAGTGAGTGATGACATCTTAGCAGTGTAGGTCCCGATGTGTTCGCGCAGGACAACTTTCGGTCGCATGAGGCATCGCGCTCATTTCAACGGTAGTTTATAGTAGACAATGGACCAGAGAATAAACTTTGCGACTGTAGTGACTAACGTACCTACTCCAAGAGTTTGCACAAGATGCATTCCTCAGCTGTCGTCTCTGCATATATTACGTCGTTCCATACCCGTCAGATGCCTATCTGGACAATGGACATCCATGGAGCAACGTCTTGTCGGGCGTCAGGCGCCACCGATCTCAATAAATCAAACGTACCTACATTTTCCATCGCTCTGAAACCTCTACGGAGCAGTAAAATTGTGAAACACTTGTGGAGTGAAAGTTGCGTTTCCCGAAGTTCAGAAACGTGTCCACTATAGGGTCGTGTCTGGCATATTCAACTCAAATCTATTTAACTTGCGAGCGACGACAATGCTACCTCATCCCCAAAGCGCTACCTCATCTCCAACAGCGTAGGCTGATCCTTTGATTTAGTCCCTTAGACTTCACCGCACTTGCATCCGGGGAAGGGGGGAGGGGGCAGGAACGACCTTGACATCGACAGTGTCTAGCGGTCGCGTTATATTATCGGCACTTGGAGATTGATGGCTGGCGCCCACACTTATCGGCCACGGAATCAGAATAATCCGCCGCCTGGCGGCCAGAGAGATATCGCCGTCTGCCGGTGACGGCTAAGTAAGTGTGTATGTTTGTCAGTCTGTCTGCCTGTCTAAGTGAAGTAACTAAAAAAAACGACCGCACCTTTCTTTCGATTAGATAAATCTCAGCATGGCTGAACTGTCGTCTATAGACGACATTTCAGTGAATAGCACTGACCTTCCTTGCTATAGTGACAGTTGACAGACAGACCATATCGACGCATATTTTTTTTTGTGCGGGCGCTCTCTGATCTCATAGTTCTAAGTGCCTAAAACGCCGTCTGTCCTCTTTGACGGCATGACCTCACGTCGTCACAAGCTAAAACTGCACAGACTCACCACCATTTGTGGCAGTTTGCGGTTTGACAGTTTTTGATTGACCCGTCGTCTTTGGAGGTCCGGTTGGCTTGGCTGGACGGTTCTGGTTCGATTGGAACCCATTATTGGTATGAATGGAGCCTTAGGTGAATTGATAAGAAACGGTCATTTCGACATGAATGTTACGTCATCGTTGCAGAAGCGGTCATCGCCGTCAGACCCAATAATGATACTGGTGCCAATAGTTCACCTAAGTGTTCTGCATAATAAAAAATGTAGCTTTAGACAACTCAATGATCATTTGATATCAACCACCGGTAAGCCACGCTTATTCATGCGGTTTATTGCTAAGTATTTGAGAATAAATGCCTTGGAGTTTATGTATATCGAACCACAAATGTTCCCCTCCTGCTTACTATCCGAACCTGGCACAAACAAAGCGGTCGGCGTATCATCCGAGCTGGCTGCGCTTCATGGTCCGGTGCCATTTCATGGCTCCTGTGGCTAATACCCCATGGTCCGCCTACCCCCTCCCCACCCCCACCTCCCGCCGCAACAGTGCCCGGCTGAGCTGACCGTCAGCAGGGGGAGGAGGGGGTGAGGGGGTGCAGCACTCAGCGCTGCCGCTGCCGGCGCGGCGGACCCCGACCGACCGGCAGTGGGCGGCGGAGAGCGGCGGGCGGCGGGCGGCTCGGCGCGGCGGTGAGCGGTGGGCGGTGCGCCGTGCTGGTGGGCGGTGCGCCTGTTGACATGGTGACACCCGAGAGGCTGTCGTTACCAGCGCGGTGGTGGTGATTTCCGTGTTGTTGGAACCGGAAGCGAGCTCCACAATTGTGGCCAAACGACGAGGGCCAGCGACCGGCCACCACCGGATGAATTATCGTTCAGCGGCTGTGATTTGGCATTGGGCCTTCAGACGGCCTCCTGCAGTGACCTTCTCTGACTAAAGAATAGTGAGGCGGCCGCCGCTGACCCCTCAGGCTGCTGCGGTGATTGCGCTCGCCCCTCCCT